GTCCCCAAATAACGACCCTGTGTCCAATCAATTTACCAGCACCATACAGATGAAGGAGGGTAGGTATGAGGTGTCCTTACCTTGGAGGGAGTACCATGAGCCACTACCTGATAACTACAACCTCAGTCGCCGACGATTGCATGGCCTCGTGCGAAGGTTGAAGCAAGAGCCGACCATTCTACGTGAATACGATGCCATCATTCGCGACCAACTCGAAAGAGGGATAGTGGAAGTTGCACAAGACACAAACGACAACCCACAGATGATCCACTACCTTCCACATCACGCTGTGATCCGTCGAGACAAGAAAACGACGAAGGTGAGAGTCGTATATGATGCATCAGCTCGATCCAGTGGCCCCTCACTCAATGACTGCCTCCACACTGGCCCGAAATTCAATCAGAAGATTCTGGAGATATTGCTGCGATTTCGGTCTTATCCAGTTGCCCTAGTCGCGGTTGCCCTAGTCGCGGACATGGAAAAGGCCTTTTTCATGATCTCTATGGCACCGAAGGATCGTGATGTCCTACGTTTCCTGTGGTTGAAGGACGCCTTCCAAGAAAATCCCGACATTGTCAAGCTGAGATTCACAAGAGTGGTCTTTGGCGTTTCACCGAGCCCATTTCTGCTCAATGCTACGATCAAGCATCACCTCGAGAAGTATGTTATTTCGCATCCTGAGCTCGTAAAGATCCTGACACAGTCAATATATGTGGATGACGCAGTTTGTGGGGCGGACACAGAGGAAGATGCCTTCACTCTCTACGCAAGTTCAAAGGAGGTGCTGAGTCATGGATCATTCAACCTACGCAAGTTTGTGACCAACTCCCCTACATTGCAGAAATCCATTGACTCTAAGGAAACGATCCCGATGTCAAGAACAAACACTGAACACGATGTTACAGTTGAAGCGTCCGAAGAAACCTACGTTGAATCTACTCTCCCCATCACTCACTATAGTTGTCCTAATGAGCAGAAGGTCCTTGGAGTTCGTTGGAACGTCACACATGACCAGTTAGTAATCAGCCTGGATGGTATAGTTGAGACCGCCGCACAAGTGGACCCTACGAAAAGGAATGTTGTTAGCCTTATTGGACAGATTTATGATCCCCTGGGGTTTATTTCTCCCGTTACAATCCAATTCAAGAAGCTGATGCAGGTCAATTGGGGTGGGACCAGCCATTGGAGGGAGAACTACTGAACAAGTGGAACAAGCTCGTCAATGACCTTAAAGCAAGTCGGCCAATCACCCTCCGCAGATGCTACTTTGATAATGCAAGAGATGGAATGACTACTTACTGTTTGTACGGTTTCTGTGATGCATCAATTACTGCTTACGCAGCTGTCGTGTACCTGGTGGAAGAAGCTCATGGTTGCAAGTGTTCCAGTTTCGTCGCATCGAAGACTCGAGTAGTACCCCTCAAGACTCTAACTATTCCGAGACTCGAACTTATGTCTGCAGTCCTCTTGGCTCGACTGATAACCAATGTCTCCGAGAGTCTGTCTACAAGGATGGAACTGAGTGAGCCAAGATGTTTCACAGACTCACAAGTTTAACTCTTTTGGATCAAGGGTACTGGAAAGGATTGGAAGCCGTTCGTCCAAAATCGAGTAAATGAAGTCCGCAAACTGGTTCAAGTGGAGTGTTGGGATCACTGTTCTGGCAAGGAGAATCCTGCTGTCGGACAACCAACTGTGGAAGAATGGACCAGCCTGGCTGAAGACCTCAATTAATGCTATGCCAGCACTACCGGATGAGGTCCCCGAGCTCTGTATTGCAGAATTGAAGACGAAAGTAGTGCATAATCTACTAACCACTCAAGCTGTCAGCATTGGCCGGCCGATCAATATTGAAAGATTCAGCACTAGTCACAAGCTGTATCGGACAACAGCCTATGTCCTCAAATTTGTGAGGTTGCTGAGGAGGGAAGTGGCATCAGCAGAGCTCACACTGGCCAATTTATCCGAGGTTGAAAGGCTTTGGATCATAGATGCTCAGTCCAGCATGGCACAGGACCAGAATTTTCCAAAATGGAAGGCACAATTCAGCCTCTTCCAAGACGACCATCAAATCTGGAGATGCGGAGGACATATTCCTCAAAACACCCTGTGGTTTTACCAAAGAAGCATAAACTGTCAGCCCTCATCGCGCACAGTGCTCATCGACGGGTACAACACAATGGAGTGAAGGAGACCCTGACGGAAATTCGAGCAAAGTATTGGATCATCGGCGGGAGAAGTCTCGTCCGGTCTATCATTCACCCGTGCGTGATCTGTAGATGGTATGAAGGAAGACCTTTCACTGCTCCTCCAGCACCACCACTTCCTTCGTTTCGTGTCAACCAGGCACCGCCATTCATGTATACAGCTGTCGACTTCGCTGGCCCACTGTACCTCAAGAACAAAGAGGAGTCAAGCAGCAATAAAGTTTGGATCTGTCTGTTCACCTGTTGCGTCACTCGTGCGATTCATCTCGAACTCGTGACTGACATGACGACAACGACCTTCATCCGATGCCTGAAGCGGTTTTCAGCCAGGAGAGGACTACCACGAATAATCCTCTCAGATAACGCAAAGACGTTCAAAGCCGCTGCTAAGTTGATCCAGACCATTTTCCACGACAAGGGAGTCAAGGACTACCTCTCACACTCTGGAGTAGAGTGGAAATTCAATCTTGAGAAGGCTCCATGGTGGGGTGGACTCTTCGAACGGATGGTAAAATCTACCAAGAGATGCCTTAGAAAGATGGTTGGCCAAGCAAGGTTCACCCATGACGAAATGCATACGGCTATCGTCGAGATTGAGGCCATCATCAACTCACGTTCCTGAATTCAGGCGACACTGAAGAGCCCCTAACACCCTCTCACCTCATGGTGGGACGAAGACTATTGAGCCTCCCTGACAACCTCACGTATCTCGCACCTGAAGATGAAGACTTTGAAGTTACAGGAGAGTCCATACAGAGGAGAGCTAAGCACTTGAACAGTGTGCTTAACCACTTCTGGAAACGGTGGAGCAAGGAGTATCTCCTTGAGTTGAGAGAGACGCACCGACAACGGAGTGTTCGTGGAACATCAGCTCCTGTGAAACCCGGCGATGTCGTTTTGGTTCACAATCAAGACCATCCCAGAGGATTCTGGAAGGTGGCACAGGTCGAGAAACTCATCACTGGAAGAGATGGTCTGGTACGTGGAGCAGCACTGAGACTCCCATCTAAGAATGGCCAGTTGACTACTCTTCAGCGCCCAATTCAACTCCTTTATCCTCTAGAAATCACTCAACCTGAATCTCACTCCGAAGATGGATCTGATCCGAATAATGCGATCCAGCCAAAACCTGACCCGAGAACAGCTGAAGGAGATCCAGTTGAGCCACATTCAAGACCACAGCGAGCATCTGCCTCAAGGGCCCGAGATCGGTTCAAGGAGTGGTCAAGAGAGATGCTCGAAGATCCTAATGAATACGAGTCTAGTTGACCACTTCCAACGTCCGTGGTCAACGGGGGGGGGAGGATGTTGGGAACTACGAACGATAATATTATTGTTGCGCACTCATCTGAACTCTGAACTATCTATCATTATGTATTTATGTAATCACGTGAGCATATCATGTGTCTCAGGTGTCGAATCTGAATTGCAGTTGAAACCGAGGTATCTGCCTGAATCGCGCAGCCAGTGCGATAGAGTCGAGAAAGACAGCTAGCACGAGCGTTCCCTCGACTAACTTTACAAGCCAATATGCAAATTAGCACAGGCTTATATACCTCGACCGGGTCCGCTTGCTCTGTGTATCTTGAAGGCACAAGAAGTCACCTATCTACTACTGTAGCTAGCCCGTGTCAGACTCTCCGCGAGCTACTCCAGCGGGAGACCACGACTAAACGCATACTACAAATAGCCAAGCCATCAATTTAGCGGTACCGCTCATGCGCAGTTCGCCGAGGGTTGTGCTTGTGCGACGGCAATTTAACTTAGTATATACGCGTTTACTCCAGGTCTCCCGCTAGCAGTTCGCAGAGGGTCTGACACGGGCTAGCTACAGTAGTAGATAGCATGCGGGAGTCGATACACGCCCTTCGTTGTGACTTCAAGATACACAGAGCAAGCGGACCCGAAGCCTGTGCTAATTAGCATATTGGCTTGTTAACCCTCGGCGCGCATGCGCAGCGAGGGTTACGGTAGTTGTCCCGTTAGTGTCTGTCAGTCTGTCTGTTACCACGTTTTCTGCCACCGCGCGCACGAAATCAGGTAAATAGCGATATGATCGGGTTCAGTGCTACACTGGGTTGTTTTTAAAAAAGGCGATTTTCGTAAAACTACTGTGTTTTAAAGTTATGGCGTGAAAACCAAGTGAACAAGCCAATATGTAAATTAGCACAGGCTTACCTCGACCGCGTCCGTTCGCTCTGTGTGTCTTGAAGGCCAACAAGTCACAACGAAGGGCATGTATCGACTCCCGCATGCTATTTACTACTGTAGCTAGCCCGTGCCAGACTCTTCGCGAGCTACTAGCGGGATACCACGAGTAAAGGCATAAAAAGCCCAGCCCATCAATTAGTGGTACCGCACATGCGCAGTTCGCCGAGGGTTTGCACTTTAATTCAGTTAGTTTTCATGCCATAACATTTAGAACGCAGTATTTTAACGACGAGCGTAGGGCATTGGTGTCACCTTTGTTGCGCGTGGTGGGGTAAGAGACACACAGACAGACACAGACCAAGCACTGTAACCCTCGCTGCGCATGCGCACCGAGGGTCAATCACTATACTACATATGTAATTCAAGAGAATGATAAAAATATGATTCATGTTCTTGATACACTAACTTCTCCAACAAGACGTGGAATGTCCACAAAATCCTCACCATGCATACAAACATAAAGTAATGAAATACTTCCTATTCCACCCCAAAACAGGGTGTGTAGTAACTGCAGAAATAGGTTACCTGCAAAATGAAGCAGATCTCATTAGTACATCGTATGAAAATATATATATTATATCTGGGGGTACAATATCAAGCGAATCTACAGGCATTACAGGGGCGTAGCCAGGATTGAACCTTAGGGGAGACAGGTTCACCTTGGCGCGCATGCGCAGCGAGGGTTACTGTAGTTGTGTGGGTGTGTTTGTCCGTTACTAGCCATTTAACTACGGATCACACGTGATTGCTGGCTGAACATGCAAGTGCTCGAGAGGTGTGGCTCGTTCACTGTGTGTTATTATTATTGAGGCATGCTGACCCAGGCGCTCTTTATCCCGCACAGACTACCACACTACTGCTGACACTGCAGGCTCTACTCGGGTGTGCTACCCAAATTGTGCAATGGCCTTTGCCCATGAAGGTGAGCGCTAACATGAGTGTGTGCTCAGTCCATGCACTATATTGTGCGCTTGGGTGGCATGCTGGAGTCGGTATCTGACACCAGTCATGGTGCAAGGGGAAGGACAAGCCTTCCTCCACCCAAGTGAATAATATCTTTTCCTGGGTCTAGCCAGCATGCACCGCCCCCTCTAATCACCTAGCAAACTTTAATAACATCCACAAAGGAACAGTATATACACAATTACGGTGGATATGGGCGGGGTTTGGTGCGATGTTGCTGAATTCTGGTTGAAATTAGTGCAAGTTCCTGTGGGGTCAGTCGAATGTACAATAAGAATGCCGTGCTCGACCACCTTCCCAGTGCCTGAATGGTGGAATGTTGAACACCAGCTGCTGCCGCGGTCGTAGCAGCTCCAATTCTAAAGCTATATCCCGCATACATCCGTTGATCGTGCCCAGTCTCTGCCAACGCTTCCCGGAACTTGCCAATCAGCCACGGCTTTGCAAGAGGTGCCCCATCAGAGCCCTTGAAAAGTGGACCTGGTTGTTGACCCCGGATGGCCATGTATGCAAGCAGCGCTGCCACCAGGCAGATGTCGTTGTCTGAGCGGCTGAGAAATACTGTGGCGCCTCTTCCAAACTGGTCTGCCTTGGCCCGTTTCAGTTGCAATGAGATCAGTATTGGGCAGTCGGCAGCCACGTCAGCCAACAGCATGTGCATGGCCGGATAAAACGCTGACACTGAGCTTGGTATCAGTTCACCCAGCCGAAATAAACCAAAGGAACAGATACAGTAAACTGCCCATATCCGGATATGGTCATAGTTGTGTACCTCCCTTGACCAAACTGACCGCGATCGACGAAGAATTGGAGGCATAATTAGGAGCCGGGGCTGAGTCGCCTTTACCCTTGACAAAACTCGCTGAACACCTGACAGAACCATCTGCAACTTGGTTGTAGTGGCGACTGACGCAAGTGAAGTATCTGATTGCACATGAATATGTCTTTATAGAGGAGAATGTGTTAGCTAAATGAGCAACGTAGTAGTGTGTGTGACGCGTAATGGGTCTTGGATGCCGTAGAGTGAACAGAAAGCTATGTACTTCTTTATACCTGCTGCATATGTTCTGCCTGTGGCTGGCGCTATGCCCTCCTGAAAATACTCTTGAACTGATTCCTCCAGGCTGCAGAGGTCCAGTCCTGTTGACTGAACACCAGATCCTGCGGCTCCTGGGGGACCAACTGAGGGGTTTGGAATGTAGAGGGGTGGGCCCGCTGCAGAAAGAGAGACGATTGGTTACGCGACAGATGGTCTGGCAGCTCATTGTGCACCCCTGGTGCAACGAGGTGACAATCATATTTTTCCCCCAGGAAAAAGAGACACCTGAGCAGCTGCATGATGTGCTTGTCCTTGGACGTTATAGTCGCTATAACTGCCACCACTGCTGCGTTGTAAGTCTTGCATGACACCACCTCCCCTCTCCAATCCGAGCCCCATAATGCCACCGCCACTACAAGAGGGACGAGTTCTTTCACTGCTATTGAAGCCCCTGCCAAGGGTAAACCTGCCCACTCCTGCTGAAACCATTCTTGAGCATAGTATGCCCTGCAACACCATGAGCCAGATGCATCCGACACAACCATATGCTTAGAGACCTGCTGTTGACTTGCAGACACCAACGATATGCCATTCCACGACTCCAGAAAGGTAGCCCACCAGGCCAGATCCGACCGTGCCTCGAAGTTCAGCCGAACACGGTAATGTGCTGCTGACGCTACAGTACACTTGTAGCATAACTACAGCTATTGCAACCCAGGCTGCTAGGGCTGAGGCAACCCTGTGCCACATAGTGGTTGAGCATAACATGCCCTTTGCTAATAGATCATTTACCGAGTTATTGTCTAAGGGGAAAGTGCCTTGTCCGTTGTTCACTAGTTCATCTTCAGGTTCATCCTGTATGTCACATCATTATACCACCAGGTCAAATTAGACTCTCTTTTGTTATCTGTGATGCATATGAGGCCCCTCCTACCAAAGTCTACTGACTGTGTGTGCACTTGACCGTTCTGATCGGAGATCAAGATCAAAGAGCAAGAATTGTGTCGATAGTGATCAGACCCTTTTTACACGTAACTTTTGAACCCAGTACTTTCTTGGAAAATTAACCTTTCAATATTCATGCCTATGTAGCACCAATGGGGTTGGTATCTCTTTGGCCACCTCTACTGCCAGAATATAAATCACCATGCGAGTGTATACAAGAATAAGTGCTAAGCATGTCACCTTCAGCCAATTATATCCATGCACACTGTTTTTAAGCATTAACTGCACTGAAAAGTGTGGATAATGCACACACTTTTACAAGTGGCTGAGGTCACATGCAGCATAAGAAAACACCATATTATTGTGCACTAAGACTGAACCGCATAATATAACATATTGTACCCAGTTTGTGCTCACATAAGATCACTCAAAAGCCTATCAATTCTCGAGACAGCAGCTTCTACCGCCAGAATATGTAAAGCACTGTGGGCAGTTTGTGCTCAAAGAAGGTAACTGAAGTAGTCTTTCCATGACAATGTTTGAGACCGCAACCTGCATTGCAACAATTTCCATTGTATATAAGGGTGAATGGGCCTAAGGTAAGAGACTCATAACTCAAGGATGGAGGATTTGGTTGCCTTTCTTGATGGATGGGGCTTGTTGGATGGGTTGGAGGCGAGGTGCAAACCGCACAAAAGAAACAGCGAGGCTCGGACTCTAAATAAAGGGATGTTAAAAGGAATGTGGCAACTCTAACTGAAAACAGAAAGCATTCTTGCACTGAGGCCTATTGTTTGATTATCTTCAGAAACATTTCTGCCTTATGTACTGCTAGTCTCCCTTTAAACTTTATGTTGCATTTCTGTTTGCTGCTTGTGAGCAGGGTATGGTTGGATCCTCCAGCATTATGAAAAGACACTTGCATTCTTTCCCACATTAGAGGGGACTTGAATGGGCAAAACAACTTCAGTGGTGTTCTTCTCTTGTTTTCCTAAGAGAGGTCACTTATTGTTCTTGTGGAACTCTTTAAAGAGGCTTGCAGGATGAAGTTTCAGCATCTGATTGCTTTATGTATGCATGGGACAGACAGTGGCTGACATATTTAAAAAATAACTCGGTTTTTATCTGCAAAAATTTAATGGACTCCAATAGTACTCACACCATTCTTACAACGTGAGGTCAAAGGTGCAGAACAATGTAATCCTGGTGGAATGATAGAGCTCACTGACAATGAGCGGAAAAAAGTCTCTTAACGTCATTGTGTAGCATATGCAGAATGCGAACATTGCAGTGACAAGTTGATACTTCCTTGGTAGGGTCAAGCTATGCCAAGATTTCCAGCAAATGCTATTGATAACTGTTACTCGTAGAGTAACCTCCATGGACAGCTAGCACGACCATGCAATAATTTTCCAGGCGTTCAAACATGCGGGTATCAGCCCATATTATTGGCGCCTTTGTATGCCTATGTATTCTGCAACAAATGTAATTCAGAATAGCTGTAACTTTATGCACTAGTGAAATATTTTGCATTGCAAGTGGGGAATGCAGTGGGAGGGAGACGGCTGTTGTGTGCATGCATCACAAGGCATAAGTCAGGCAAGAAGTCTGTAGTGTACTCGCATGTGAGCTAGACCAAATGTAAAAGCGATACATAGGTGGATGTGTCTCCGTATATCTCCCATACGTGCCCGCAGAGTACAGTTCCCATGAAACAGCAAACCTGTAAGGGATATACTCCAGCAGTACCGGGGTCGAGCATGACGAAAGGTACTTTACCACACATAATATGACTTTGCCCAATTTCTTTCCAAAAAAACCATATCTAAAAAGAACACTCAAATCAAGGCATTAGCTTTATGAGCTAGCTAAGAGTCACTGACAGCACAAAGTGCAAACGTTTTGTGTACTAGAAACACACACGGGTCCAACACCCATTTGCAAGTGCAGGTCAGTACCGCTGGGCTACGCTACGCGTCATATCTCTGACAGCTTACACAGGCTAATAGATATGTGTTTTATGCATAGTTGGACATGATGCTCAGTGAATGAAGTCTCTCCAATATTCTTGAAAGTTCAGTCAAGACAGTTGGACCCTTTTCACTCAGAGCCTCAGAGCCCTTTTGAGATTCCTCTTATCTTGGAAGCTAGGGCAAGACACTGTCTCAGAATGTTATTCCTGATGCCACTTACGAATCTCAGCTTAGTCTCATCTTCAAAACATGCTCAATGAGAGAAGCCCTTCAACATTGTGGACGAGATTGTGTAAACATGGTCTCAAGGCAAAGAGAAAGCAAACAGCACAACTGTGACTCCCTGTGTCTGTACATGACACTGCAGTAGGGCTCCACACCTTCCTTACAGTTTAAGCACCATTGTGAGTATACTATGGGAACAAGGATGTGTTTGACAAGGTGATAAGGCAAGATATGTAGCTGAATGCTATCTCAGGCTTCGAGACCACATCCGAGTTAAAACTTGCCTGGTATATTAGCGTAAACAGTGTTTTGGTTTGTAGTGCAACTGGAGGGCTTAGTCTCGCATATAGATAGATTTCCAGCTTAAGTAGCTGCTGCTGACCGCGCATGAACACCGGTAGACTTAATAGGCAAGGAAGACGGACAATGGGGACTGTTCTGCACAGAAATCGTAAGTATGCACCAATAAGAGAGCACCTCACTTTCCACACTTTAGCGTTGTGCATTTAGAGAGCTGTACATTCTTTTCCAGTTCACAGCACGGAGCCACCATTTTAATGGAGTTAAGGTGAGAAAATTTCACTTTGCCACTGCTTAAACAATTGAGAGTGATTGACAATAACACGGACTAAGCATAGGACGTGTAAGGGGGCAACCACAGTGCCACATGTGGGTACCTGAGTGCTGACACAGTTGAAGTAAGTACTGCGCCTGGACATTGTAGTATTCACAAAAACTTGCGAACTCTAGCAAGAACTCGCAGTAATAGAGGGCCCTCTAATGTCAGCCTGGATGTGCTAGGCCATTCAACTGCTTCATTTCGTGGATTATGGATTACACTTTCCTCTGCTGGAACAGGTGCCAGAGTTGATCATTAATGCTTGGTACCTAGATTACAGGACATTAATTTGTGAATCAGCGACTAAAGCCAAATTCTGAGGTTGTGTCTCCATTTTACAATCCCCTTCTTTATTATATATTGTTCCTTTCAAGTTTTTTGATGCAGTGCTATCCATATCACAAACACACGATATGTTAATGTGGACTGTATCATAGCTAATATGTAATGGGAAAAAGCTTTGCCCACATAATTATAACAAAAAGGACTTACTGCTGGGAATCAGCAAACTCAAGAAGAAAAGAGAAAAAGTCACCAGAATAATTGTTGGCATCTGTAGGGGAATGTAATATACAATACAAGGCTCTAGATGCAGGGATATGTTACAGGTGTCAATAGAATGCACGCTCTTCACGCCCAAACCTTCAGTTCATCATTTCTTGGGACTTTTACCTTGCTCTTTTCAGGCAATGAAAACACCAGGCGGTTTAGGCGCTGCTCAAGGTAGCAATGAACAGTTACAGTTAGCACTTTCAGGTACTTTTTTCGGCAGTGCTTACGAATAAGATACTCGAATCATTATCTGAATCTGAAGGCTACCCTAACGCTCACATTGTTCGTGCTATCAGTGGGGGATTTATGGGGTGTTCTGGGGTTCTCAAGATCCTACCCACGTACTCTCGTGCCGTCTCCTTGTACGCATGTGCAGACAACATGCGTGCAACAGCTGGCTGCGTCGATATGAGCAGGCAAACACAGTTGTCAACATTCTGTCAACCTAGCGCAGCAAAACAGCAGTGTATGAACAACACTGACAGCGAACCTAAAGTACGTTCGCACACCTTGAAAATCTAAAATAACTTCCGATTTCAGCACCGTATGCGGCCAAGCCTGGTATCATAATGTATTGCTTAACTCTCCAGTTCGTTCAGCGTTTACCCCGTTCAAATCAGCTGCATAGTTTTTACGCTACGCACATTATGAAGTTCTACCACACAAGTGGGTCTAGGTTAACGCGGACGTCGAGCGTGCGCATCGGTCAGTCGCGGGTGTGTCGGAATGCCCCAAGACGAGGTCCGCCCACTCAGGAGGTCGTGCATGCACAAGGCGCCAGCCGGCCGCACTGGCGTGGCGGTCGCTAGAGAGAGAGAGAGAGCTAGAGAGGCGCCGCCTAGCCGAGGGGCCCGCGCCATGGCGGCATAAAAGCGCGCGAAGTTCGAAGCCAGTCAGCAAGCGTAGCTATTGCATCGCCCGGTCGCGGTTTCTCGCGGGAGCAGTTGGACAAGAGCATCGTTTCCCAGCCTTCCCTCCTCCTCCGAGTATATACTCCTCTTCAGCATCGCCCGGCGTCCGTCCATGGCTATCTCATCAGCTGCGTCTACACTTCCCCCGGCGGCAACGGTCCCCGCTGCGTCCGCGGCAGCAGACGGCCTTTCCCCTGGTCCGTCCGAGACTACGGGGCCATGGGCCGACCTCGCGTCGCGGGTCCTCCAGGTCCTGATGCAATCAGCGAGGCGGATGGGGGAGCAGTCCCCGGCGGCTACGACCTCAGCAGAAGCCTCAGGAGCGGCAGCGTCCGTCGTCGGGCTAGGTGAGCTAGCATGACCGTGGGTAGTAGTTTTAGCCCGTTGGCAGCGGCTAGCAGCAGCGTTTCCGCCTTCAGGCAGCAGCAGCATTAGCGGCAGCGGCAGCATCAGCAACGGTGGTAGCAGGGTATGGCGGTAGTAGCGCGTTAGCAGCAGTAAGCGTCGAGTGGCACCGGGCGGATAGTTAGCAGGTCGGAGCGGCCTTGGGGGGGAGAGACAGTTAGGCTGCGGGCTATGGGGTCACCATGTAAGGATACAGCAGTCTAGGAAACTATGGCATTATCGCATGGGGTTTTGTAGGGTGTGTTGCTAGGTTAATTAATGCATTCCACTAGCAGGGGCGGTTGCTAGCGGGCCTAACGTCTATAGCCAGTAGGCGTAGACAGGCCGCGATAGCTCCACAGTCAACGCGTGTTTGTTGTTCGTCCTGTACCATCTGTTAGTAACAACAGCCCCGCGACTATCGTTGGGCGTTGTCCCAGCGCTACCGATGGCAGCTACATCTGGTGGGGGTCTTTGGCCGGCGGAAGCGTCGTCAGCAGCCCCATCGCTCAGTCTTCTACCACCCGTCGAACTCGGGGGCCGTCCGGTGGAGGCGTCATCGTCATCTTTTGAGGATGGCCTGGCCCCTCTTCTACTGCAAGCTCTACTGGGCGCACCTCAGTCTGCGTCGACGCTGGCAACCGAGCACGTCCTAGTAGCGAGGGGAATCCCGACCACCCCGAAGAACTTGCTACTTCGCATTAGGCGTGGAGAGTACGTCGACTTCCCCGAACTATTGCCGGCGGTGAACACGGCAGATAACTCTTCGGCCCTCGGCGGCCAGACGACCAGGTTCTCTCTCATCCCGGGGTATGAGGTGGTTCGCAGTCAGAGGCGCACCATCGCCACCATCACGGATTGGATGCAGGCATTTCTGGTTTACATGGCTGCGGTTGTGTCCGCCGACCCGTCCATGACGGTGGAATTGTTGGCGTACGCGTTGACGGTTATCCGGGATAGCCAGAACTTCGACGGGCTCCACTGGCGGGCTTACAACACGCACTTCCGAATCAATGCAGCCGCATCCGGCAACCGTTCATGGTCAACATTAGACACGGACTTGTACACCCGTTTCTTCACGGGGAGGGCAAGGCCAGCCGCGCTCTGCCTCCAATGCGACAGCTCGGCTCACGGGGACGCAGATTGCCCACAGCGTCTCGGCCCATCGAGAGCCTTTCGCAAATCAGTCAACTCTAATTCGGGGGCGGAAGCACCCCCGGCCAAGAGACGCCTGTGGCCCTCGGATACGTGCTCCCAATTCAATGCCAGGGGTACGTGCTCCTTCGCCGAGAGGTGCAAGTACCGTCACACGTGTGGAGAGTGCGGGGGAGACCACCCAGCCCGCTCTTGTGCTGCAAAGAAAGCATGATATGGCTACCATCGTCCAAGACTGGTTCAGATGCACTGTCTAGCTGTGATATACAGTCGTCTCGTATATAGTATTGTGCCGTGTAAACGCATGAATTCGTTCGTCGTAACTTCGGTGTCGGAGGGCATACAGCTATAGCAGGGCGTCCAGGGTTGCGGCGCATCAGACTTAGTCAGGTTTTTACTGCAGGCGTGGCCAATAAGGTGCCGGGGCATGATTCTTAGTTCATTGCTATTGTTCTTCCTCTTGTTCTCTCGTTGTAGATCCCAGGCAACTCCACAACCCTCATCCGTGGACGGAGAAACTGTTAACACTAGATCGATGCAGACCCACGAACGAGCCCCCGGTTACACGCATGATCACCGGAATAACCACTCTGCTGAGATGGAGGGAGTGGGAAGAGGCCATGGCGGGCCATCCGGATAGGCGATTCCGGGAATACATCGCTCTAGGGATCCACCAGGGCTTCCGCATCGGCTTCGATCGCCGATCCGGGGTAGCCCCACGATCATGTCGCCAGAATATTCACTCGGCATACGAGCATCCGGAGGTGGTCTCCGACTACCTGGCCCGGGAGTGCAAGGCTGCCCGGGTTCTTGGACCCGTTTCCTGTGTTGCCGGTGTCGCAGCTCCAGGTCATGGCTACGTCGGATATCGACCAGCCATTACAAGCCACACCACTATATCCGTTTGAACGCGGAATGCCGGGCGGACATTGAGTGGTGGTGTACGTTCCACCGGTTGTGGAATGGCAGGGCAATCATTCGCAGCTCGGGCGCCCTTCCGCCAGATGTGATTCTATGCACGGACGCGTCCGGTACATGGGGCTGCGGCGCCTACTGAGCAACCCGCTGGTTCCAGGTGCCGTGGGACGGCTTACCCATCATGGAGCAGGCGATAGCGGCGAAAGAGCTGTTTCCTATCGTAATGGCTCGCTTCTGTGGGGGACATCCTCGGCAGGTGGTCGAGCTCCGCCTACATGTCGTATATACGCATGCCACAATGCAACCTCGCCGAAGTATCTCGCAGACTGGCGGTGTAGAGATTGGTCCACCAACCCACAGTACTGGTATTTATATACGAGTTGTATGATACCTGTGTCGCTCAGCGGATTCGTGAGTTACTTTTTCTTGTACTTGTTTATTTTGTTGTGTGTTTTTTTTGTGTGGTTTATTTTATTTCTGTTGTTGTTTTGTCCTATATAAGTAGACGGTATCTGTCAGGGGACAAAATATTTGTGTAGGGGCTATAGTACGGAAAGGTGTGTGTGTGTACAATACAGTATAGCGAAAGCGCTTGGAGGAGTGACACTTCACGTCACCCTTGGGAGCATTTATGGCATAGACCACAAATTTACGGACCTCCAAGCGCAATATAGGGCACAAACAACAGTCGGCAGCCTATATATGTGGCCTATGACGCAGCTAGGAGGTCCAGCATATTTTTGGCGCGCATGCGCATAAAATATCGTGCCGGGGCGCGTACTCCCGACTGCCTCTATTCAGGCGCCAGTCAGAAGGCGGCAAAGCTACGGGGGAGCTCCCCGCATTAAATGCTTAATCCCATACATTTCTTTACATACGGTGAGAATAGTACTGCCCTCCTCATTATCTACTTCCGCATACATTCTTAGTGCGAACGTACCTTAGCTACGACAAACGTGAGCAGTCACCTCATCCTGAAGCTCTTCCATCGGATCTCTCGTTGGGGGCATTGGCATCAGTGTCCACGCGCATGAGCATCAGTGTCCACGATTGGCGGGAACCCCCCTTGTAGAGGGTTCTGGATCCGCCACTGGCTATTCTGTTTCTTGAACTAGTGTTTGGTGACAGAGTAGATTCTGATGTTACACTATCGCATTCTTTCAGTCTCTACCAGGCGTTAGATTGGGAGGAAGATGCGCGGATTAATAAATCTGAGGTAACCCAGTGAAGCTAGCTATCCATGCCAAAAGTATGTAGCAGAAAAGACAATCCTGCGAATTACAAAAACGGAGGAATACAGGGATGGTATAAAAACCAAGGTAGACAAGATATACACGCTTCTAGACTACAATTGCAGTTGCTGGTTATAAGTGGGTTTCTCAGCCTGGTGACATTCAGAATAATCAGAGGGGGAAAGAGGTTTTGGGTCTCTATTATGTGAATGTCTAGTACATGAAGCAGGATTTATTAGCAAGGTCTACTATGGAGAGAGTTTGTGGATGGAAGTTAGTGTGTGAGAGGAAAGAGAGGCCTTGTAGGTTATGTATATAATGTGGAAGGATAGTGGAGGTTTTTGTAACAATGACGACAGTTACTAGAACTAGAAGGAAGATATGCTCTGGTTCATGGTCACACGTACAAAGAACTTGACAACGACCATTGACGGAGAAGGGTGAATGCATTGCTCTTACAACTGAAGAAGATAAGTGCAATTGCAGGTTATCTGTTCAACAAATATTTCGTTCCTCTGGTGGCCTGACTCCTCTCCTGTATGGTCAACCTGAAATACACAAGGTAAAACGCCTCTTAGAACTATAGTTTCTTCGCCTATCTAGGTTCTCATGTACAGAGCTGTCAGATTTTCACGTCATTAATTTCCACTCTGTGGATTAAGCTGTTTCTGTTGCTCACCACAGACTTTAATCTGACTGTATATACCATGTTAGAATATCGTACTTTGATGGTAATTCCGAGTGCCATAAGATGATGTAGGTTAAGAGTATTTATTTGGAGACAATGAATCCAAGAAGGTGGTCAATGGTCGGTTAAAATTTTGAAACCAGTATGCTTCTCTACCTACCTCGTCTAGCTGGTAGTTTGCTGTGCAATCCCACTACAACCTCCAGTTTGTATTGGTACATTTCATGGGGCTACAGCCTCTTCTATTAAAACACGAGCATACCTCTTGAGTTTGTACGTGTACATTTGAGTATAAGAGAATGCTCATCACTAAAAAAAGAGGCTATTATGAAAAGAAAGGGAGAGAAAATAGGGATGGGGTACATAAAGCAACAGATTTGAACATGCGGACACCCCCGACCCCGTCACACAATCCCTATACTGTTGGCTGACTCTTAAACTATCTTTGGACCCTGCTCAGTAGAACCAACTCTGTTAGTAACATTGTAGTGACCTGTATTTTCAAACTATAGGTCCCGCAACACATAATGGTGAATATCTTACACCTAACCAACAATATAATGATGGGGTTGGGGGTGCCAGTGTGCTTAAATCAGTTCATAAATCATGCTGCATGTATCCCATCCCTATCTTGGCTCCCTTTCTTTTCATACTATTCCTTCTTTCTTATGACTTTTTAATTTAGTTGTCTTATTTTATCTGATGGTCACTAAAGGAAAGTCTGTCATGGAAGTCAAGGAGACCAGGACATTAGCGAATGTAAGGATTCATGTTGAAAGAGTCATTGGACAAAAGTATTCGTCAGACAAAAGGATTCCATTTTGCAAAGCAAACTGCCTGTTGATTTTGTAACCAAATGAGTGGGGGAAGACTCCCTTGTTAATCATATTGTTGTGTAACATTGTGATTCTGTTGTGCCTTTTGAATAACACAGTTTCCTGAAACATAAAACAGGGGAGTAGTGGTCATGAAGGATGACTATACACAGTGAAGTATACATAAGTAGATGCAGTAGTACCCTCTACTGCACTGTATCTCTTGCTGATTTATTTAGGCACCCATATTTCCCCCTTGGTACAGTTGTTATCGTCAGACACTTTGTTCAGGCTCCATTTTTCCCTCTTCGGGAACTCCACAGTAGAAAAAATTCTGTTCTAATGTAGCCGTTGGTTTGGAGCCTTTGTTGACACTGCATTTGCATATGTGTTTCGGCTTGAATTGGTTTACCATTTTCCAAGCAATTCTGGTAGAATGCATGTCCTTGTTGAAAACGTTTAATGTGAAGACTGGCATCACCATCAGCAAAAGTTCAGACACAAAAGCCGTAGTAATCAGGATTGCTGACGAACAAGAGCTATGGTCTCACCTCTATGACAGAAAGGGTATTTAATTTCCAAAGTGCATTCACAGGAAATTATGCCGTCTGGATTGGCTCCAATGAATGGCCAATTGGGATTGATAAGAAGGCCTGAATCACACAAACTGTCAGATTAGTGTGCTCCTCCTTAACTTTCTTCATATAAAATTCTTGTGCTGATTTCTCATGCTGGCACTCCCAGACTGTTTGCCAGAGAAGAGAAACATTTCAGGGTAACAAATAGCTTTAACAAGGCTTTAGGAGGGATTTGTGAGGTATGTGTGGCACAGCTTTCATTCGTGATGCAGTCATTCGACCACTTAAACCAAAGTTTCAAGTTCGATTGAAGTCAGTTTCTCTAGATCAAGTACCATTTCCATTGTTTCACAGATTCACAAGCTTCTAATAACTCATGGTATTCCAGTTCCATGGAAGGGGCTATCGGAAGGGGCTGTGGAAAGGCATCAACTAAACACTTAGGAATATAGCACAAGGAACAAGAGATAGCATAGCCAATTTTGTGCCACAGTTAGCTAAAGGGATCAATAGCCGCTTCATAAGAGTGCAGATGTTTGCTTCCGTAGCACTTACAAAAAAACACACATATCTATATAGGTATATCGTGCAGTGACAAGAAAACAGAGACCTCTGACCTGAGCACTGATCCCACATCACACCTGTTCACAAGTCATACATTCACACATTGTATCATGGTCAGCTGTGCCCCTTTAACCCACATCTATCATAGCCTATACAAGTCATTTGACACTCTTGTATATTGCCATCACACCAGAGCTTTTATTATTACACTCTTAAACTACTGCCGGCAAAGCCGCACAACGGTGAGATAACTGCCACATTGGCGTAGTCGGCAGGATATGAACCTGCGAGAGCGGTGGCCGTAAAACCTGTCATGTTGCCAGATACCTTCGGCGGTGAGACCTCCTGGGAGTACTGGAAGCTGCACTTTGAGGATGTGGCTGCTGTGAACGAGTGGACCGACGAGCAGAAACTGAAATGGCTCTGTGTGCACCTCACCAGGCACGCACAGAAAGCGTTTCACCGTCTCCCCGAACACTGTATTCAGGAGAGGTTCGAGCCAAAGAGGAAGACACGACACCAGGCCGAGCTGGAATCCCGTCGGAAGAAGTGCACAGAAGGAGGGCCAATTTCGCCGAAGATCTCCAGACTCTGACGGACAAAGCGTACCCCGAGTTACAAGTCGAGGCCAGTGCTCCAGGCGTACCTGCGCAAGTTGGAACACCCCCAAATTTCGTTCAGTGTGAAGCAGCGACGGCCAAAGACCCTAGACGAAGTGGCCGCGGCTACCCTTGAAATGGAGTCCTACGCCTCTACACTACCACGTCCGGAATCCACCACAGTGGTGCAAGATGCCGATGAAAACGATAGAAAAGAGGGTGCCACTACTCTCCTGTAGTGGCAGTCGACTCAACTACGAGGCTGCAGGAGAGACTGATGGAGCACGTCGAAATCCTGAGCAGAACCAGGCCGGCCCGTCGCCGAAGCTTCACCTGC